TGCATCGAGAATGGCGTCTGAAACTTGGTCACAGAGTTTGTCTGGGTGTCCTTCGTTCACAGATTCGGATGTGAAAAGGAAGGTCTCCATCTCTCAAACTGAAACAAATGAGATTTACATTTACATAAACTGATAAACATAAACATCTCTATTTGATGAATGAAGCTAATCTTAGAAGCTTAATAGTTCTGTAAGCTATTCAATAGGTCAAATTAGATGCTTTCTATTATTCAAATGGATCTATGATGAACTGGTTTTGGTTAAGAGTGATATAGGATAATAATTATAATGTTCGAAATATCCAGATGCTTTCCTATGAATTCAGAATTTTCAGAGCATGAATGAACAGGTAGATGTGATTCTAGATCAAATCTAAGAAAATAATCACACGGAAAAAGGTAAAAGTAACTTAAAAGTAAGATCTAAGACTAGAATCATGGAGAAGTATAGAGATGCTTAATGCAATTGAATTGAATGATAAGAGAGTAGTAGAAATGAAGGTTACCTTGAGTTGATTGACAACGGGATCTTGAGATTTGGGGAAGAAGGAGAGTGAGAGAGATGGTGAGAGTTGGGGAGGAAGAAAGTGGAATTTATAGGTGCGGAGGAGCAGGGGAATGGTGATGCGCTTGTGAGACTGCCGACAGAAATTATACAGCCAAGAGCCAGTTGATGTGGACCCACCGCCAATCCAACCACCGACGAAAATAACTTCCAAATTACTTTCCTTTAATTTTCAAAAGAATTACATATTCTTGAAAATTTACATATTGCGCCGTTCCCCTCCCCCCCCCCCCACTTTTTTTTTTAATTAAAAAGAGAATTGTAGTAAAATCAAGGTTGGATGGTATCCTTTTATGTTTTGCAAGTTCGTAATCGTAGTAAGATCGGATTTGAGTCGGAAGATCCTATAAAAATGAACTTTTATTCAAATTTACTCATACATTATAATTTGATGTTGATTAAGACCTCCTTCTCACTTCGTGTAATTTTTCCACGGATGTATCAAATTCCGGCCTATGAATTTGGCTCCTTCTCACTTCCTGTAAATTTTTTTCTTCTTTTTCGTAAAAATAGACTAATGATTATATAGTATTAATATTACATAGCTTATAAATTTTGGACCTCTTGAAACAATGGCCTTGGTTGTCGCCAAACCTCAGAGTCCTCTTATATAGTATTAAGTATTAACTTTTGATTTATAACAACAAACTTAATACCAATATAATTCGAAAATATGGCTTTTATTAATAACGTGATCAAATATTCAACTCTTGTTGAGTTGAGTTGAAATCCGTAGTGACATCTTAGTTGAGGGGTTGTTTTAGGGAACATGTGACTTTGTGGGAATTATAGATTTATATCCACATGGGGACAACAGGTTTTTTGCTTGGTACCTTATGAAACTGCTGAGTTTGCTGCATGTGATCTCCCTTTATACAAATAAAAACATATACAATATACATATATATATTTAGATACATACACACAAACACATAGAGGCGCATATACACTTCAATTATAGGTGGTAGGAACACCACTCACAGTGATCATATACCCTGTTTTCTATTATATACATTTTATAAAATAGTCGTTCATAATTAAGACAGAGATACAGGGGTACCACTACCACACCTAAAATAAAAAACAGTCATGGGTTACTTCATTAAATCCTATTAGATTTTTACATTAGACTTGGTCTTTATTAACCAACTAGTGGTTAATAAGTAAACCATAATTAAGGCCATAACGCGGCAAAAAAAAAAATCAGGCTAAATCCGTAAATCATTTTCTAAGATTTACCTAAAAATTATCTTACTACCATCTTTTTTGGATCCAACATACCTGCAAAAGTCTTGATCGTCTGTCAAAATTTCTACATAAGTTATGAAAATCTCGATATGGGCCGAAGTGTTTGGCCGGGTGTGGTCCCCCATATAGATAAACTAGTTTGTTTTTCATTTTCTAATTTTACACACTGTGTTTCGCAAACCACTTAAGATCCTCTCTGAAAAAGATGGCCGTAAAAGACAACGACTTGCATAAAATAGTGAGTTATTTATTATGAACTATGTTTTTAATGTTTGTTAGCATAAATGAATGTGTTTTTGAGATTAGGGGGGGACTCATTACTTATTCACGAGGTGATGTTGCATGATGTTTAATCATAAGGGATTTTGTTTGATAACTGGATTCAAATTTGGCGGTTGGCATCCGGATGTATATAAGGAAAAGGAAATGATGAAACACCCCTCACTAGGGTAGTTTTAAAATACCTTTTTAAAATTATTTGATTTTAAATAAAACAAGTTTAGAGTTTTGGCTGCGGAAATCATACGGTCTCATAGTCCAAAACATGTTTAAGTTTCAAATAAGCGAGGTATCATCAATTAGTAATCAAAACATAGTCTAAGATTACCATATAGTTTGTGACCATTTAAAATGTCCTCGTTAATCTCTACCCACTCTAGTCTTCGATGTGAGCACATGTCAATATAAGTTAGGTAATGGAATTGCCTAACAAAAATACTTGATGTTGACTCATTTAGAGTAAATGATAATAACAATCATCATACTCGAATCAAAGCCCCCAAATAAGTTGAAATTAATAAAACAATAGCAAATGATCCACCTCAATTTAAGGGTTGTAAGACGCCAAAATCAAAGTCAAACCAAAGTCAAATGGTTTATTAACCCATAAGTCAATAGCAAGGATTTATATTCTATAGATTCAAAATCAAGTTTCAAATTTCAAAGATTCAACATAATCCAATAAGTCAAATAAGTCAATATAGGCTAACATTGGTTAGCTAACGAGATCAATAAGCTTGAAAAGCTCCAACATCCAAAATGGGATAATTCAATCAACATATAATATCAATAATGCAATATGCATTTATCCCAATCCTAAATCCATCTTATAAGGTCCAAACTAGTAATGATGGTTAATAGGAAAACATAGATGCATCACATAACCATGGTGGCTTCGCACCACATATAAAGGAAACATTCCAATATACTTTTATTTGCATAAAAATATAAAACTAGGAAGATGTGAACCATCATACATACACCACACAATAACCTTTACTTGAAGCGCACCAAATTGTATAGCAATCTTAGCTTCAACCATTAGATTGCACATATAACTTAAGGGTGGAGGGAGTATTCCCAACCTTCTTGCCACATATGCAACACATCATCTTTTCCTTTCTTCTATCACATTCCTCTTTCTCAACTCACTACCCCGTCTCCAACCTCGTTTACTTGTTCATGTTGTTTAGTCGGGGATGGCAGGATGCCTTACAATTTGTTTCTTTTTTAGTTTTTTTTAGAAAGGAAATGAAAAGATTACGAAGGATTATAAGGGGGGGCTTGTTCTCAAGTTTTTCCTTTTATTTAAGAGAAGGAACGATCAGATGTTCATCCTTCCATTTCTTTGTCCATCATTAGTTTTTCTTTTTCTTCTATTTTCGTCCAAAACCCATCTTACAACCATGGAAATGATCTATTTTCTATATCAATCCATCTTTCACCTTTTTAATAAAAACTGCTAGTCATAACATTTCATTAATTAGAAAAACTATAAAGAGTAAATAATGATTAAAATATTTCATTAAAAATACATAAAAATATATCATTCCAACCCCCAATGTTGTGTTATTTCATGCTTATGTGCTAGTACAACATTATCATGCGGCTAAATATAAAACCGCAAATCTTTCTCCTTCCGTTTTTCTCGCATGAACTCCTCCCTATTGTGCAACTTTTTTGCCTTGATCTCCTCTAACTTTGCTCGATGCCATTTTTTTGTCTTCGACACTATGTTTGTTATCATTACTAAATTCGGTAAAATTCAAAAATGATCCTTAATAGCAGTTGTTCAATATCCCTTTGTCCTTGACATATTGTCACGAGTTGGATTTGGTGATGACATAAACATTGGGTTACATTGTACGAATGTTGTGTAAGAATTGCGAAAAAATGAGAATGTTGAAATGGTATTTATGGTAAGCTATAGAAGGGTTATGGTGGAGATTCGGATTCTCAATGGATCGCATAGCTTCGCATTTTGAAGTGATATTTTTACCTTAAGTAAATCATGGAATTAATGTCATAATTAATGGTTTCTAAAACTGACAAGATTTGTCAATTTACCATAATCATCCACTGGAATTCAGATTTGTCAATTTTACCATAATCAATGCCCATTGGACCCCTGTGGTGGCGATGCCCCTAGGGAGAATGTATGAAAGGGAAAATGTATGAAAATCATTTTAATTCATGCAATTGCAGGCTAATAATACCAAACAATATTCAGAAACATAGCAAGTGAATAAAGGAAATAGAGATGTGATTTGCGTAGACAGAAAACTTACATTTTATCATGAAAAATACATACCATTAGATTTTCTTTCCTTTTTTCTAATTATGTCTCAAATTGATTATCTTTTGCAACTCTTCATCGGCAACCCAAAGCCGAGTAGCATAAAGTACTCTTAACATCCTTTAATGAATGAGCACAAGCTATTGCACTAAGGGCGCTGATAAAATTGAAAGAAACGTATGAGAAACTGATAAATGAATCATATATTTATTGCTTTATGCACATACCTAACGAGAACTCGATCTCATTGATTCTTTATGCACCACAATTCTTATATATGACCACTGGTCTTTTAAAAAAAAAACATTTTATATTAATGAAGTAATGACCTTTCATTCTCATTGAACTAATTCCAATTTTATGTCTTAGAGAACTGGTTCATTTTTAAAACCATGCTTAGTTGGAAAATAAAACTAATAGAAATTACTTATAAGTTATAAGTATCTCCTAACAAAGAGAGGTAAACTATAACAAAGAGAGGTACCAAATTTTGCAAAATGAAAAAATATCCATATTCGGTGAAAACCGTAAAAAAATGGCAAACTTAGCTTTTCTTAAGGACAAACAAAAAAAAAACCATATTAAAAAACCAAAACTAATCATAATTTAACATTCACATTCAATTTCAAAGTATAATGTACTAAAATGTTCAATTTCCTCTCATATTTTGCTTATGGTTAAACATCATCTCCATTGCTTCAAATCTTGCATCAGTGAGTTTTTGTTTGGCATCCATTTCCTCACGCGTTTCTCGAAGTTTGGCCTCGATTTCTGCAGCTTTTGCATTCATTTGCTTTCGCATCTCCTCACGCATATCTTCATATATGCTCTACAACACAACATGAATATAAAAACCTAAATTTTCTTAATACACAATGCCTTAATATGAAAAAATGAAAGTAGTGTAATGGTAATGGTAGTTACCTTCTGCTTTAAATAAGCACATTCAGCTTCAAGTAATTGCACTCTCTACAGACAGATATTTTACTCTTAATTAATCAGGAAAATGATATGTTAAATTTTCTTGGATTACTCACTACCTTCTGTAACTTTTCATCAACAACACAAAGCCTAGAAGCATAAAGAACCCTAACATCTTTCAATGTGCACAACTTCTTGCATTGAGGGCACTGATAACAATTAAGATTTTTGTATGAGGAATTTGATAAGAGAATCAAAGATGTGTTCTTTATGGCGTACAGTGAAATAACAAACCTTTGGACTTTGTTGAATCCATGTCTTGATACATGAGAATCCATATATATGCCCACAGGGAAGACAACTGCAGAAATTACATTCACAGGGGAAGGAATAGGCAAACAAAAAGGTAATTAGCTATATCAAATTCATTCAAACTGGAGATTGATTCTTATAAACAAAAGGAAATATGCAATTGAATATGTTGTAACAATGTGTTAAGGTTCGTCATACCTGATTTGATGCTCGACGCTGCTAGTCCAAGGTTGAAAGCAAATAGGGCAAAATAAACCATCAATTTCGCCTCTATTCAACGATTCCTTTCTTCCATCGCCCTCACTGTTCTCTTGGTTCCCCGGCTTTTCTTCACAGGAATTCGAATTTTCCAGCATCGTCACCGCCCCTTGCAATGTTCCACCGTCGGCAATAGAACTTGAAACAGTAGATGCCGTTATCTGCGCCGGAATCAACTCTTCTTCATCTTCGTATTCTTCTTCTTCTTCGTAGTCCTCTTCATCTTGGTATTCTTCTTCTTCATAGTCGTCTTCTTCATCTTCGTATTCTAATTGTTCGTAGTCGTCGTCGTCTTCTTCTACTTCGTCTTCCTCGTACTCTTCCTCTTCCTCTTCATCATCCTCATCTTCGAAATCTTCTTGAACTTCTTCTATTTCATTCAGTCTGGAGTCCTCCATTGTTGTTGCAACGAGTACCGAGCACAGTTAGAAGAACAAAAACAGAGGAATAAAATCGAATTTATCTCTCAGTTTAGGTTTTTACACTGACTGATTAGAAATATTGTTAAAGACACTGTTTATTTTTTAATTTTTTTTAAAGTTGTTTTTTAGCTTTTAGAAAGGAAATCTTCAAAAACATCCTTTTATTTTGGGAAAAGTTAAACTTTAATCCTAAAAAAAATTAAATAGAAAAATACTAATTATTTAATTTTATACGATAATATGTCATTTCTTATGGTTCACCTTCAATAGTTCATGAAAGACTTGAATCGACGGCTATACTTCAAAAATAAAAATTTAACTCCTTTTTCCAACTATATACACGGTTACTATTTCATTTCTATAATATTACTTTCTTTTATCATAATGAGTTTTTTCAAAGAACTATGATTCATATGTTCGTAGCAAATGGGTTCATGAAAATAATTATGCTCTTTTCTCATATTCTTTTGAATCATCAATTAACTATGACATTTTGGCAGAAGCTTCTCGAGTTGTTATAGCGGTTCTTCAAGATACTGCAAGTTTATTTGTATCTAGTACTTATCATGAAAGAGATCGGGAAGATGCATAAAGACTGCATATACAAAATTACTTTGCTCTAATGCAAAGTTTGATGATGGCCAATTAGAAGAAGTTTCGAGACGAGTAAAACTTATTCCTACTTATTGTTGAGGATATGGAAAGGAAATATCCATTTTCAAACAACTTATGATGCTTGGATGCAAAAACAAAAGGCTTCTCAAACATTCACTTGTTGAAAAAGTATTTATATGTGAAAACATTTGTGACACCAACTATAAACACAAGATAAAGACAAACATCTCGAAAGAAAAAAAAATAAAAAGGAATACAAAAAAAATTAGTGGTAACAATTGATGACACGACACGACACGAAATGAAATTGGGACGAAACTGAAAGTGGAATTCGTGTTCGTGTCAAGTGTAAAAAACACGGCGTCGTATCGTGTTCGTGTTCAAATTCGACACGAAATTGACATGATTTAGCATTTATATGTCGTGTTTGTCGTGTTATATATGATTAAGTATTAATTAAATAAATTAATTTTTATTTTATTTTATCTTTGTGGTGTCATGTCGTGTTTGTCATTTTTAATCGATTCATTTTCATGCTAGTTAAAAAAACACGACATCGTGTCGTGTCGTGTTCATTTACATAAAACATTATCGTGTCGTGTCGTGTCAGACAAAAACACGACAAGATGGCCCGATTTGTCACCCCTAAAAAATAAAAATGGTGGAAAAAATACAAGAATACCCACTAACTACTTTTTCTAACAAAAGCTTATTGTATTTAACAAAAAAATATACAAAAATACAAAAAATTATTGTTGTTAAATTAGAAAAAAAAAATCTAATCATGGTGACATGATAAACCAACAATAGGGGCCGTGGTGGAATATTTTTCAAAAATGTTGCTGACTTTAATAGAAAAAAGAAATGCTTAAACTGCAAAAATAGGTAAAATGACTTTAGTCTTTTTTTTATGTCTACGAAATAAGATATGAATCAAAAGTCTTTTTTAATGTCTTTAGTCTTTATAAAAAAATTGTTTTTTTTAAGTCTTTTATAAAAAAGAATGGTGGTGATGGTGTTGGTAGTGGTGGTGGAGGGGGTTGGTGGCGGAGGTAGGAGTGGGGGTGGCGGCAGAAGCAGAGGTTACTTGTGGTGGAGGAAGTGGCGGTGGCGATGGCAGTGGTAGTGGTGGTGCGGAAGTGGCGGTGGTGGTAATGGCGGCGGCAACGGTGGTGGCAGCAGGGCGGAGGCAATGATGGTGTGGAAAAAGAAATATTACATTAGGATTATAACTTAGAAAATCTTTTCCAAAGTTAGAAGCTACTTTTTTTCATCTGGAAAAATGTCAAAAAGAGATTTTTATGTCTTTATCTTCCGATAAAACAAACAATTTGTCTTTCCTCTCGCAAACATAAAATGTCAAAAATACCTTTTTATAAAAAATAAACACCACCTATAACAAATTTTTCATGTTGCTTCTTCTAATCTTCTATGCTTGAAAATTTAAAATTGAAGCAACCCTTTTGGGTCTAAAAGTTGATGCTTTTACTTTTTAGCTCGAGTGTTACTTTAAGGGTTCAAACTTCAAACATATGCATCAAGGCCCTATTAGTGGGATTAAAGTGTGATATGGAATTGTATTCATAGGTTATTCACTTAGGAATTAGAGAGAATGATTTTGTGCATAGTGTTGATTGTTCAATCGACACTGAGGTGAATATATATTTTATTTTTAAAATGGGATACAAATTCATAAAAGAGCATACACGATATTTATGTTATGCAGCATTGGTTATATTATATGTTATATTTCATGTGTGGATATTGAAGGTATGAGACAAAATTCTCTAAGATCATACTGGTGAGGAGTTAGGTATTGGCTTCTGTCAAGAAGATAGAGAGCAAGGGCAATTTGGTCATTTTCCAGTAAGTCGGTTATTAGTTGAAGCGGTTAGAAGAAAGTGATATACAATAGGAAGGGAATTACTTAAAGGAAGCATCTTTATTCATTCACATTCGATATCAAAAAATACAAAGTACCAAATTTCTCAATTTCCTCTCATATTTGGCATTTCTGGAAACATCTTTTCAAGTGCTTCACATCTTGCTTCATTTAGTTTATGTCTAGCGTCCATTTCCTCACATATTTCCCGAAATTTGCCCTTGAGTTCCATAGATTTTTCATCCATTTCATTGCGCATCTCCTCAAGCACACGTTCATATACACTCTTCATCACAACATGAATATAATCAGATAGATATTTCAAAGTACAATGAAAGATATTTCATTCCCATAATACCCATGTACCTTATGGCTTTGCTTTAAATAAGCACATTCAGCTTCAAGTGTGATCACTCTCTGCAGACAGAAAATTTACTCTTAATTTATCATGAAAATTATATACAAGTTTGAAAAAGATTATTACCTTCTGTAACTCTTCATCAGCTACACAAAGCCTAGCAGCATAAAGAACCCTGACATCCTTCAATTTGCATAACTTCTTGCATTGAGGGCACTGATAAAATTAGGGGAAAAGGATGAGGAAATTGATAAGAGAATCAAAGATGTTTTCTTTATGGTGTACAGTGGACAAACCTTCCTACAATTTGGACTTCGTTTAAGCCATTTATTTATACATGAGAATCCATATATATGCCCACAAGGAAGACAACTGTAATCGATCACATGAAAAGGAACATACAGAGAAAAGTGAATGGCGTATTAAAGTAGCGCAAAAAGTATTAATTTTTTGAGAATCGTAACAATGTGTTAAGGTTTTTTCATACCAGATTTGATGCTCTCCACCGCTAGTCCAAGCTTCAAAGCAAATAGGGCAAAACAAACTATCAATTTCGCCTCTATTCAACGATTCCATTCCTTCGTCTTCTTCGAATTCTTGGTGATCTTCTGTTTCGATTCGTCTGTTGTCCTCCATTGTTGTTGGGACGAGTACTTCTAAAAGACTCGAACAAGCAGGAACAATGGAGGACAAGCAGCAGCAGAAGAAGAAGAAGAAGAAGAAGAAGAGAGGATAAGCTCGAGATTGAGCACGAAATTTAGGTTTTCACTGTGGTCTGCGGAGAAAGAGTGAAAAGTACGAAATTTGAGAATTGACTACTTTAAATTTTATGAGATACTTTTTAATTATTTGATTATAATTTTAAGGATAATTTCCATAAAAGACCCTATATTTTGATTTTTGTTCTTTTTAGACCTAAAACTTTTTTCTTTTTCGAAAAAGACCCAATGTTTAACTGTTACTTGTTATTTTAGACCTAACAGGTCACCAAAAAGGAAATTAAGTATTTTTATTTCATAAAAGACCCTACATTTTGTACTTTTTTCCAGTTTAGACCTAAAATGTTTTTTATTTCAAGACTATTTGTATAAAAAACGTGATTACATCCTTTTATTTTAAACATAGACATCGATTTAAACAATGTAAATATTATGCCTACATTTATTTATGATTGGACAATTCTTTGTCCACGTATATTTATAAAAAAAAAGTAGTTGTAAAAGCTATTTTTTCACTACACTAAGTTCATGTAGCTTAATTTCGTCAAGGCATAAAAACATAATTATATTCTTTTAGTCTAAATAATAGACAACGATTTAACTTTTGCATCTTTTGGCATCGTATTGATTTACATATGAAACATTTTTTTTAAACCATTACACATACAATGAAATTGTATAGTATAATTTTTTTTCACAAAGTGTAATATAAATAATAACAAAATGTTTTGTCTACATTTGGGAAAATTTACAATTTCTAGCTCCAAAACTTTTTTTTTAATATTATTGGTTTAATTAGTTTTTCGATTCAGTTACATAAAACAATTACCAAAAGCTAGGAGTTGAATACATAGACATGCGAAGTCAAATTTTCTAACAACACAAAAGAGATTTTATATAATTTGAAGATAGTAAATTCAATAACCAATTGAGTACCAAACACCTTCAAGCTTTTTTAAATTAAAATGAAATCCTAAATTTTATTTTGGTAATTATTATGATTATACTTAAGAATCAATAACCGCGATATACAAACACCATGTATTGATCTAAACACCATGTATACATAAGATATATTAATAAAATGAGGTAGTAGGCCAACTATTCAATTTTCTTTTTTCTACAAAATTTCATAGTTTTCTCATTCACCACATTTCAACCATTAATAATAATGTCAACCATCGTCTTTGAATATATTTAAGTGTGGGGTATCATTTTTGTTATTTGGATTTTCAATTTATGTTCAAATGGTTTCATTCTCATAATATGTTTTATGTATTTATATGTGATGTTAACATTTTTTAAGAATGTCATAAACTTGAATCAGATATATCTAAACAAAACTATTATGAATGTTTAGGATTAATATTTTTATGTATGTATTTGATATAACTATAACATATTATTCAATAATGGCAGGGTCGGTCCTGGAAATGTAAAAATACCCTCAAATGCCCAGGACGAGTCAGAGAAATAGGGCCCCTATCGCTATTATAAGTTTTTTATTTTTAAATAAATGTATATATATAATATTTAATAAAAAATTAGGCCATGTGTAGCTGCCCATATTTCCCCCCCCCCCCCCCCTAACGCCCCCCATGAATAATGGGCTAATGCTACAAAATATTCTATGACTTTGGTTTAGGAGTATTATAGTGAGTGCGTTTGTTAACTGTTATAAAAAAAATTGATTAAAAAATTCGACCAAAATAATAATATAGAAAAGTGAGACAGGGAAATATGTCCAAACTCACGAAATAAGTATAATAGACAAACTAAACAAATTTATTTTGTATACAATTTGTTAAATTACATGGTATGTTTTTTTTTTCTACAAATAAAAAAATTTGTTATTATGCTAAAAGATTCTTCTTAGCCATGTATTATCCATGTTACCAAAAGATATCAAATTAACATCAAACTTTTTATTAGCGGTAATAATAACATTTTTTATAAACAATATATCAAGTTTAATGATATAATATATATCTAAGATAAAGTTTAATTATATCTTTTACATAAAAAATAAAATTTTGCAATTCTTCTAGGTTATATTCGCTCAAAAGATAATAGATTAGATAACATTTTTTTAGTTTATATATGTATACTTTCTTTTTCGATGTAGTCAAGAAGTACCTTATATATTTGGTCTTGAAAATTATAACTAATTTTAAAGTTGAGTTTATTTTGAAAAAAAAACATTTTAGGTCTAAAATGAAAAAAATTGTAAAATATATGGTCTTTTATGAAAAAAAAAATATCTAATTTACTTGTTGGTGACCTGCTAGGGTCTGAAATAACAAGTAACAGGTAAAAATTGGGTCTTTTTTGGAAAAGAAAAAAGTTTTATGTCTAAAAAGAAAAAAAATCAAAATATAAGGTCTTTTATGGAAATAACCCTAATTTTAATGTTCTAATGTCTAACTCTTAATAAATTTAATTGTGAATTTTGAAAAGGAAAAGGAAAAAAACTATAACCAATATTACCTTTTTTAATAATATGTTTGATAACGACCCTCTCTAATAAATTTTGGTTTTATATTGAAAATTACAGTGGTTGTTTGATTTCTTGTTGATCGACATTTTGCCTTATTTGGTCCAAGGTCAGGGACTTTGATTCACATAGAGACTTTGATGAGACTTTGATTCTGATTCACAAAGGGTAAGACGTTTTAGGTGACTCGGCCAATCTTTTTCCTCTGATTCGAACTTATATAAAATTATCGATGACCGAGACAAATTTCATCGTTTGCCCCCATTTCACCTAGGTGACATTGCTTTCTTCCTTCCCCAAGGACGTTTAGTTGCGGAAAAATAATGTCGTTTTCTGGAAAAAAATTTCCAAAAAAATAAGAATTTTCAAAACGCGTTTAGTTCGTCTATTTTTCTAAAATTTTCACGGAAAATAAAAGTTTTTCGTTTTCTAAAATTACAAAGAAGTTGAAAATTTTTGGAAAGCCAATAATCATTGTTTTCCATATTTTTCTAATTCCAAAATTTTTCTAAAATATAAGCACACACTCAACCTCACATCTACCTACCACCACCTTAACACCCGCAACCCACCACACCCCTACCTACCCACACCCAAGCCTACCCCCACAAACACACACACACCCACCCACAACCCCACCTATACAAACACACAAACACACACACACACACAAATACACCCACCCCCACTCCAACAAACACACACATACACCCACAAATACACACCCACCCCAACCCCCACAAACACCTACACACACACACCCACCCACAACCCCACTCAGACAAACACACAAACACACCCACCCCCACTCCAACAAACACACACATACACCCACAAATACACACCCACCCCACCCCCACCCCCACAAACACACACACACACACACCCACAAATACACACCCACCCCAACCCCCCCCCCCTACACACACACCCACAAACACACACACACACACACCCACAAATACACACCCACCCCCTACACACACAAACACACACACACACACCCACCCAACACCACTACCACAATCACCGACCTACCATCACCATCACCACCACCACCGCCACCGCTGCCATCACCACATCTGCCACAATTGTCACCGTCACCACCTCCGCCTGTCATCACCACCACCTCTGCCACCACAATCGTTGTCATCATTGACACCACCACTGCCCACACCCTACTACCGCTACCGTTTTCCAAAAATGAAAACGGATAGAAATATACACATCTAAACGCGTTTTCTAATTTTCTAAAACTAAAAATGAAAAATGAATAAGTTTTAACTAAACGCGTTTTCTAAATTTCCAATGAAAATTGAAAACGAAAAACGAAAACTGAAAAGGGAAAACGAAAAAAGGAAAACGAAAACTGTTTTTCCGTAACTAAACGCAACCTTGCCCGTTTTAGCCCATTTTTAGTATAAATTAAGGACGACAGAAGACATGTAAAACGCCATAGAGGACACCTAGATGCCCTACACAACACCAATGACCTCTCGGCCAAAGTCCCACATTGCCCAATCTTCTTGCCCAAGCAATCCCTGCCAAAAAATTTATCTACAAAAATGGTCCCTCTAACTTACAAAATGGTCTATGTTTTAATATAAAATTACGGAAATGGTCCTAACATTGAAACAAATTATAAAAACTATCCCTTTTATTTACAAAATAGGTCCCCATGCAAAACTATTTTTACAAGACTGGTCCTTACGTTTTAAAAATTACATGAATGGTCACTTCCTAATAACAAATTTACAGAAATGGTTCCTATATGTCATATAACTATAGATATGGTCCCTACCTATTAGTAAATTTGCATGAATGGTCTGTGTTTTAGACAAAAGTACAAGAATGTTCCTACATTTCACAAATATAGAGAAATTGTCACTGAACTAAATATCAAATTTACAAAAATGTTGCCTCTCTGAGACGACATTAGAAAACATGTGAAAATTATAAGATTAATAAACGTGACGAACATGTGGGCCACCCTACTAGTTAAACACATTCCACATTGATCTTCATGTCACATGACACATACACACCACATCTTCAATAACCTATAACTACTTTCATCCTCAAAAAGTCTAATTTTAAACACATATTCATGATCATTAACTTGTTATAATAGTTAAAGAACTTACTCATAATTTCTCAATAGGAAAATTACATCATAAGTATACTAGATTTAACCTAAAATTTTGTTGTTAAATGTTAGCGTTGATAATTTACAACCAACAATCCAATTTGATTAAATGATTATCACAATTCACAATCAACGAAATACAAATTGCAAACCACATAACAAAATGCAAGCCTAAAATCAGAAAATGATAAATTCTCTATATATATATATATATTGAAGTCAAAAACCAATATCATAAAATACAAATGTTACAATAACAAACAAACTTGATACTTCTAGCTTTATCTTGTACCACTAGTTTGATCATGTTCATTCAGATTATCTGCATTTTGTTGTTGATTTTGATTTCTAACATACTCATCAATCTCATTCACCATTCTTATTTCCTCCATATCTCGTTCCAATTTATCCATTTTTTCCACCATTTCTCTCTTCAATTTTTCCCATTTTTCATCCATATCTCGTTTCAGTTCTTCACGTAACTCTTCCTTAATGCGTTCAACATAGTCCTTCAAGACAATATGAATAAATACAACTATTAGCAAACATGAATAGATAACAACTGTAAGGTTACAGACATTTGTGTACCTTCTGTTCAAGATAAGCACATTTAGCTTCAAGACATCTCACTTTCTGCAAACAGAAAACAATTGATGTTCTTAATCTGTTAATCATCTTTTGCTAAAGTTTCAATGAGACTATTACCTTGTGTAACTCTTCATCAGCAACACAAAGCCTAGCAGCATAAAGAACCCTAACATCCTTCAATGTGCATAACCTCTTGCATTGAGGGCACTGATAAAATTAAGAGAAATGTATGAGAAAATTGATAAGAGAATCAAAGATGTGTTCTTTTTGGTGTACATTGAACAAACAAACCTTCCCAGAACTTCGACGAAGTTGAAGCCATTTGTTTATACACGATAACCCATATATATGCCCACAGGGAAGACAACTGCAGTCATGGCAGCTGTTAGAATCTATGTCGATCGATTAAATAAATTTCGACACAAATTGGAAATGTGTTAGCTTCATCTTACCAGATTTGATGGCTTCCACCGCTAGTCCAAGCTTCAAAGCAAATAGGGCAAAATAAACCATCAATTTCGCCTCCATTCAAAGATTCTTTTCCTTCACACGACTCCAGATCATTTGAATCGTTCAGATAGCCATCGTTGATTGATCTACCATTGGAAATAGAGCTTGAAATAGTCAGTGACGTTATCTCCACCGGAATCAACTCATCCGGTTCTTCGTCTTCGTCATCTTCGTCGTCCTCGTCCCAATAATCCTCATCCTCGTCCCAGTAATTGTCATTTTCGTAGTCGTCTTCGTCTTCATAATCCTCGTCTTCAATTGAATCGATAGGTATCACCCTCGGAATCAACTCCCCCAATTCTTCTCCCTCTTCATCTTCTTCTTCCTCTTCCACTTCCTCTTCATCTTCGAAACCTTCTTGATATTCTTCTGTTTCGATCAATCTGTAGTCTTCCATTATTGATGTGATGAGTACTTCTAACACCGAATACAGGATGAAGAAGAAAAGCACATGAATAAGATCAAAATTGACCATTGAATTTTAGGGTTTCGACATTGGAGCTCCGACCAGGTTAGCAAAAATTGAGCTTTTAACTACTTCAATTTTTACAAGGGAATTTCTTTTAATTATACAATAGGGAAATAGACGATTAAATTTCCCTTTTTATCAAACTCATCACATGTGATCTAGTCGTCTCGTTTACTTGGATCCTACGTGGCAGTTTTTAATCATTTTTGTGCAAGTTCATATGGTATATGGATTTTTTTTATTGAAATTTATTATTTTTTTAATTAGAATTTTATTATTATTATTATTATTTATTAACGCATATGATAAAAAAAAAAAAGTAAACCAATTATTATGCATATTAAATATAGACATTGCTTATGACCAATGGTCGATATTGAGCCGACTCAATACTCACCTCTTTCCAAAATTTCCTTTGATTCAATGAGTTATAATCTCGAAAATTCCTAGTTGTTAGAGTATTTTGGCTAGCCCTGAGATCCCCCTGAGAGTTCGGTAATTAGTAACTATCGAGTCAGAGTACTTTCAGTATAATTTTCAGACTTTTGTCAAGAAAATCTCTGTAAGTTAAGCTATGCTCATATTGCTTACAGTGTACTTATATTTATATTTATAATTGTTGTTATGGATTTATAAATAAGATTTATCAGTGATTTAAAGTCATTATACTGATTGATCTACTTACGGAGATGATGTCTAGGCTAGATTTAGTGAGGTGTTTAAAATAAGATTTTCAAACAATATACTTTGTATACTAAACAGATTCTACATCCAATATGATGTTACATGGTTGTTCCTTACTTGATAGATCTTAATGTAGACATTGAGATTGTTAAGAAATCTAGACTATCATTAGCCACTAAGGATATTAAACTAAGACTTAGTAATATAAACCTAGGTCACATCAAAGGAAATGGTAAATGCTGAAGTGAAGCGCTGCCCAACTTTTCAGTCATCCACTTTAACAAGTGAGTGCATAGTTACTTTCAGCTTACACATAGATATAAAGTATCTAGATATAAAATGTTATGTGTGCATATTATCTGTAGACGTTACATTATGACACACATAGTGCACACTTGTATAAAACAAGTTTGTTATCGGTTCGACCAAATAACGGGGGTCAAGAGGGATGCGCCCCTTACGACCTTACCAGATCCTAGGGACTACGTTGTCTTTAAGGAAAATGTTATGAAACAAATCTCATTTTTTGGAATATATTCTTCATAGTTATCCTTGAAACCGTCATCCTTTATTTAAGTAATGATGACCGATACTTATCTTTGGTAATTGGAAGAATCCAAATTCTATGAACCTCTAGTTCGTGGTATTTTATCATTGTCTTTATTTGAGATTGTCCCTTAAGGATTATCCTCATAATCTGAATTTGATGTAAACTAGGCTTAAGGTCGACAGATTCGAAAAATGATCACACGATCCTTCAAGAAGATCAAAGTTACTTTTCATAAGGGGCTTTGATTCCTTAACTCCGCAACTGAACAATCAAACTAGTCTTATATTTATATAAATTTATATTTTTCACCACTTTGGCTTGTATTAGATCGTAGTGCAATGTATATAATCTCCACTACATTACTTATCACGCGACACTACTCACACTTTAAGAAATATTAAATCACGTTGAACCAAGTTTTATTTTACCATTTACATTGAAAAGTCAAAATCAATTTTCCCAAACAGTTGAAAAGATGTTATAAACTCAAATTACAACAATCAATTTCATATCACAATTGGATGCAATGTGTACAATTGCAATTAATAGGGACCGTTGATGCAAATTCTGTACTAGTGCAATAAACAGGGACCGTTGATGCGAAATTAGCATCAGATTCTTTCATCTTTAATTATTTATGCTCACCGCTGCGATCAAAAAGTCTACCATCTGCGTCTGCCAAATTTCTCCGGTGCTAGCAGCAACAATGGCAAAAAACGTATCATTCATCACCGGATCCGAGCTTCTTTCTCTCAAAGAACGCTCTAATGTAGCCATCGTTGACGTGAGGTAACCTAATTTCTAATCCAACCCATCTTTTTTACACTTCACCACGATATATATCAATGGATTATTGATTAAATCTACAGGGACGATGAGAGAAGTTACGATGGACATATAGCTGGATCACTCCACTTCGCCAGCGACACTTTTCAGGACAGGATCCCTAATCTCGTTCAAGCCGCTAAAGGGAAAGATACCCTAGTCTTCCACTGTGCCCTTAGCCAAGTATGTTATAGATTTAATGCCTTTTTATCAGCAGTTGCTGTGTGTTGAAAATGTGTATTACTTTTATGTTTGTTTTCATGTATTGTGTTTAATTGTACCTGATTACAGTGATTTGATTAGGGTTTCGTGCAATCTTTCGACCTGATAGCACCTTAGCATGAATCCAACCTGAGACCTCATGAATCATCGATTTAGCTTGCTATTTTTTCTCCGTCTACATGCTTGTGGACTTGGTATTCTTATCACATAAGTAGAAATTGATTCATTCTTTGTATCAGGTTCGTGGGCCGAAATGTGCACGTAGATTTGCAGACTATCTTGCTGAAGGGAAAGTGGATGCAGGAATAAAGAATATAATGGTGCTGGAACGTGGTTATAATGGCTGGGAAGCATCTGGTAAACCCGTTTGTCGATGCCGTGGGTCCACCTGCAAAGGGGGATGCTAAAGCCAGAGGTTTTATTATGAAGCGTATTATATACAATATACATGTATTGTTATACATCGTATCATACTTGGCTTTTATGTCCTGTGTATAATCAAAATCCTACACATTGAATGGTTATTAATCCAAATAATATGAGATGGAAGCTATTATATCGTTGTGTTTAGTATCATATTGAGATTATTTTAATTGAAAAGTCTTGGTGATACATTTGAACTACAAGTGAGAAGAGATGCTATTAGCTATTTTGTTATGGGGTTAGGGAAAAGTTGTATGTATGTGATTGTTTTATTGGCTTCCAAACTTTGTTCATTGTGCTTTTAGGGTATATCACATTTGGTTTCGGGGTGGTATATCTATAGAAATGGTAAGGATTTGAATATTGGTAAACATGCATAGGATTTCTTGACCTTTACATTATTGTTTTCTTTCATTATACACAAAAGTGTCTCGATATCCCACTTGTTTGGTCGTTTTGATGGACTTTCTCATGGTGATCGGCATCACTTCTCATGTGTCATGATAGTTGGGAATAAGGGTGAGCATTTGGATTAGACTGGCCGTACCAAATCTGGTTTTTCAGAAATGGGTGGGCCGTGGACCGGATCTGTTGAAGCTTACTTACCGGGTCCACGGCAGAGGTCGAGTTTTTTAGTTCTTTTACATGTTAGACCAGTACAACGTTAGGTGCATATGATATAAGTTGTTGAAGCCTACTAAAAGTTTGTTTTTATGCTAAAATTAGTTTATCTATTACGAGTAAAATTAGTTTATCTATTACGAGACTTAAAACGGATACATTTTTGGGTTTGATTGATTGTTTTAGAATATAAATACAACTAGCTGTGAGACTCATTTATTACATGTGTTAATTTAAAAAAATAATAATAATAAATATGAATGTATAAATATTTTAGAACTTTGGATTTAAAAGAAAATAAGAAAAATAATGTATTATTAAAATTGAAATATTTTTTATCTTTTAAATTTTAAAAAATAATTTAAATAACTAAATAAAAGAAACTAATGAACTTTAATTTAGGAATTTTAAATTAGAAGGTAAGTTCATTAATGAAATTGATACCATTTATTACTACATTTATTGTAATTATTACATTAAAATATTGTGTGAAATTTTATAAAATAGGAAAACCCATAAAAATAACACGTAGAAAAAAATTAATTCAAAATAACCACAAAATGACATTTGGCAAATTGAATGAGTGTGTGACATGTGGCAAAAAAATCTACATTTATTAGAGTATATTTTTTGTTTGATTGTTTGTTTTAGATAAAAAAAATAATTTGTGATTACTTATACCATTTAACTGAACTTTGAATCGAGTTGATTAATGACATTATCATTTTCCAGCTTTGACATCCCGATTTTGAAAGGCTGCAAGTCATTGAATTTGAAACCAGAAACGATAAAATCATAGTCTAAATTAAATACAAACTTTATATTGCACGTTGGAAAAAAAATGCATGTCAACCGATTTCAAACAAATGAAATATGTATGTTTGAAACTTTTCACAAAACACACACACAAAAAAAAAAATCCAGCTTTGATACCCAACTTCGAGGGAATGTAAGTCATTAAATATGGAACCAAAAACAATAAAATTATAGTCTAAAATCAAGTACAAACGCTAAACTACATGCTGGAAAAAAAATCATATTCCAATCCGACTTTAAACGAATGGGATATGCATGTTTGAAAGTTTTCACAAAATACAAAAGAAAACAAAAGTTGAAGAGTTAAAACTTTCCAACTTTGATATTCCGACTTCGAATGATTGTAAGTCATTGAATATAAAACTATAAACGACAAAATTTTAGTCTAAATCAAGTAAAAACTATAAATTATACGCTGGAAAAAACCACATACAAATACGACTTCAAAAGGTTGAGATATGCATGGTTGAAATTTTTCATAGAATACAAGATTTGCAAAAGATTTGATAATTTTAATTCTTGTCAGAGCCGGTTTTGTACCCAGAACAGGCCAGACGCACCCGGTTTTGTACCTGAACCGTTTTCGCATGATACAAAGAACCAAGAATCGGACCTAATCTGTAAATAGTTTCAGGTCTGGTCATGTTCAGAGGTTCAAATGCTCTCACCTAATTGAGAATGGACAGTGGGTTTCAACCGAAGAGAGAATGGGAGGGGCGGTGGGGTGGGTATTGGTGGGATGGGTAGTGTCAAGGTGTGAGCGGAGGGTAGGGTGTGATGGGGGCGGTGGCCTGTTATGAGTAGGGTGATGGACGTAAGAAATGGTACATTATAGGGGTGAAACTTGTAATTTCCTCTAAACTTCAAAACTGTGAATAGTATATGCCATTATTTAATGGAAAATTAAGGATGGTGTTAGAGAATCTATTTGGGCCGTGCCCATTTAGATTCGTGTTGGACCTGCATTAGTTGTCATTGAAGTGACGCCTCGTGGGTTAGAACTATTTTCCAAAATTAAAATTTTGTGAAAAGAAAAACAAATCAGTTGATTAGGACATTTTTTTGTTTTGTTTTTATTTTAAAGAATTTTTCCAACAATCAGTTTATTTTCTTCCTACCATAAAACATGTGGATATTATTATCACAAATTAAATTAATTTATTTGATACCTATTAATAGATATAATAGTTTTGTTTTATTAAATTGTATCCCAGTTAATATAAATTATATTTTATTTAAACAAAATATGTGAATTTAATTATAGAGTAAAAAAGTAACTGGTTTTATTATCAACATCAAAGCAATATTTAAAGAGTAAAAAGCATTAATATCCAAGTTAAAATCTAAATCTTTATTAGACTTCTTATATACTACATTATTGCATGCCATTATTTATTTTACAACTTTAATAATAGTGAACAAGAAAAATCGTTTCTGGACCACATGTTAACCTATACTATGTTTATGCATAATTTTTCTTCGTTGCTATTGCAACTTCTATTTTTTTATTTGTTTCACTCGATTGGTAGTACTCGTAGATATTTTTATCGTGGTTATTTTATTTTATAATAAGTAATATCCAGATGCAGTGTATCTGTAAAAATCAGTTTTCGTTTGTCTTTTATTAATCCTTCTTAATCTATTATAGACAAAAGTGCGTTTTATTTTTTTTAATGAATATGAAAGTAACGTTATTATTTTTTATTATTTCGTATGGAGTGTAATGCAACTCTTCAACATAAATCATCTTGTAAATCCTTTAGTGGTGAAATTATTTGAAATAAAACGTTGTTCAAGTTTTATTTTCAAATGTTTTTGTTAGTAAAGCTCATATCAAGATTAGAATCATTAGAAAAAACAAAACATATTTATCTATTATTATGTTGTTTTATTATACATAATTTTTAAAATGGACTAAAATAAGCTCGTATCAAGACTATATTATTGAATCATTAGAAAAAACAAAATATATTTATCTATTATTGTGTTGTTTTATTATGCAGAATTTTCACAATGGACTAAAAGAGGTGTATGATAGTCTTTCTAAAAAGAACACATTCAGTTTTCCTTCAAGCAATATATCTATGATGATAGATATCAAGATTATAAAAGTATTTGTGTGCAATTGTATGTTGAGTATCATCTACTATTTATATACTAAATATTTAGGAAATATTTGACAAAAATAACTATTAGATAGTTGTAACACCCTTGTTCAGGTAATTTTATTTTTGACCCTAAGTAATTGATTTGTTGCAAAATTGGTCTCACATCTCACTTTATGTGAGACATGTATCTGTGCTAGTACGATGGGCGTACCCAAGCGTATGCAGAGCGTACGTGGCTGGAGGTCAAACCCTAATTTTTAGGATTTGAGCTTATTTAAGCATCATTATCTCCTCCAGACATTTCCTATCATCAGCCTCCATCTCCCAAATCGTCCCTTGCAAACCCTAATCCATTGTGTGAGCACTTTGAGGTTGAGTGACTTTATTTTTGTGTTCTTGAAGGAATGAGAAGATAGTGGATTCATCTTGGAAGCTCAAGACCACTTATATCCAAAAGTATCTCACCCTCAAGCATCATTTTGAGGTATAAAGTTCATATCTTGATGAGTTATTTGCTTAGATCTTGCTAGTCTAGAGTTTATGTATACTTTTGGTCCCATAGTTTGGTCTAGAGGAGTATGAGCTACTCCAGGTCCTGGAAATGTAGTTTTTGTAGTTTTGAGCTCATAGATTCTGAAAAATGAGAGCTTTTGCATTCTCATTAAAGCCATGCAACACTTTTGGGACTTTGGATGACTTTTGGACCAAGGGTTTGAGTTTTTTACCCTCTTGTACGCATGCAAATAGATAAAGTCAGAGACTTTATCCATTAAGACGTCCCTTTTTACCTTGATTTGAAGTTTGGTGCTTTGGCTTAATGAAATAAGCACTTAATGGTGAAATGGAGATTTAGCTCTAGTACGTTGGGCGTACCTGGAGGTACGCTAAGCGTACCAGGTTTTGAACCCGTGACTTGAGATGCACCCTCTACGCTGGGCGTAGAGAGGAGTACGTAGGACGTACTCAACCTAAAGGGGGGTCTTTGACTTTTAGACCTTGACTTGGACCATGATTTTGACCAATTTGACTTACGTGTATTTTGGGTATTTTGAGCAGTAGTTTGAGATTAGGTTATTACTTGTTGTATAGGTGACCTGTAGAGTCAACAGTTGGAACTGTGATTTATTCAAGTACATTTCAGACTGTGAGGTGAGTTTTCCTCACTGTACTTATAGGTCGAAGGCACCAATATCGACCCACTAGATTATGTATCCTGATATATTGTATTGATGTTATGCTGGTTATATGATAGATTGGTAGACCTGTAGGACTACCTGTGTTCACTGAGTATGCGTTAGATTGGTAGATCTATATGATTACCTATATTCACTGAGTATTCGTTAAATTGGTAGATCTGTATGATTACCTGTATTGCTGGTTATTGATTGTTATTGTATATGTCGACATGTTATGATTTGTTGGGTTGAGGCGGTCTTGATTTGTGCTGAAGGCCAAGATACCCAGGGAGGTCCGGATAGACTGAAGGCCTGCGAGGCGGTTCAGTCAAGCCGAAGGACCGAAGAGTGGTCCAGATAGGCTGTAGGCCCTGCGAGGCTGTCCGGTCAGCATGGAGGCTCGGAGAG